GCAGTGTGCCAGCTGTCACCATGCCTGGCATGGCCCCAGGCAGGGAGCAAGGACCGCAGGAACCCCACCAGTCCCCACCCATGGGAGCAGCAGGCACTCATTTTCAGCATAACCCAGAAGACATTAGCATTTCAGCAGCAAAAAATGCAAAAGCAGGCTTTTAAGATCTTGTTAAAAATTCCCCACATCTTCTTTACACAGAGATGGTTTGGTCTTTAAGAGTTTTCTAAAGGAAATAAACTCTTAGATATGGAGAACTCAAAAATGCAGAATGTCTTAGGATGGAGTCTCTGCTCCCTTGACAACTGCTCTTGCTGCTGCCTCAGAGCAAAGCAGGGCAAAAAATGCAAAAGCAGGCTTTTAAGATCTTGTTAAAAATTCCCCACATCTTCTTTACACAGAGATGGTTTGGTCTTTAAGAGTTTTCTAAAGGAAATAAACTCTTAGATATGGAGAACTCAAAAATGCAGAATGTCTTAGGATGGAGTCTCTGCTCCCTTGACAACTGCTCTTGCTGCTGCCTCAGAGCAAAGCAGGGAAAGATGAATAAAACCAGGATCTGGTCACATGTGTCTAGGAACCAGATTCAGGAAAAGAGCAAGAGGAAAAAGAATAAAAGAATTGGGCAGGGCAACCACGGGCAGGTGGAGAAGCGGGGAGATGAGTTGCTGCAGGAGAAAAGAGAAGCTTGTCCCACAGCCTGTGCTAGCGAGGTCTTGCAGAGGATCTGGGTTCTGCCAGTGGAAAACCGTGGAGATCTCCTCTCATGTTCCTTGCTTCCAGGCTGAGGAGAAAGACCAGAGGAGGAAGAGGAGGAGCATGGGAAATCCCATCCCACTCTGCGAGTGACCCTGGCAGACTGCTGCTGGAGTCAGCGGGCATTTATGCAACAGAGTGAAGAATGACAGTGGCTCAGGCCCATCTGAGGTATAAGGTTAGCTTTTGGGGGTGTAACCACTGCTGGCTGCAAATGAGCTACTCTACCAGATACACACTAGCCGCACTCACTGGTGCTCACAGAATTGTTCCTTCAGGTGAGAGGTCCCAAGGAAAGCCCACTCACCGTGCTGCTGCAGCCAGCAAAGCAGGCAGATAAGTACGTGACCCCATCTGCCCCACAGACTGGAGTGAAGGAATCAGTTTGGCATTCACAGTTGTTATTGCAGGGGGAATATGGGTCCAGAGATGAGGTTGGAGTTGAGCTGCAAGAGAAACAGAAAGAGAAATTAATGGGCAGTGTGATGGAATCAG